TCACTTACTATCAGCCCTTCAAAATCCATCTATGTTGTATAAAATTGCAGAATTTCCTTCTTTCTCATGGCTGAACAATGTTCTATTGTGTATGTGTGTATACATTATGTAAAATATATCTATATCTATATATCACATTTTTTTAATTGTTCATCAGTCAGTGTGCAGTTAGCTTGTTTCTGTATCTTGGCTGTTGTAAATAATGAACTTGGGAGTTGCAGATATCTCTGAAATATAGTTATTTCATTTCCTTCATATATATACTAGAATATATATTTTATATATATAATTGTTAGATCATATGGTAGTTCCATTTTAAATTTTTTGAGGAATCTCCATACCATTTTCCATAGTGGCTGTATCAGTTCACATTCTCACCAACAGGGTACAAGGGTTTGTTCCCTCATCTCATTATGGTTTTGATTTGCATTTTCCTGACAATTAGTGATGTTGAGCACCTTCTCATATATATGTTGGCCATTTATATGTCTTTTTGGGGGAAGAAAATGTTCAAGTCCTCGGCCTATTTTAAAATTAGATGATGATGATGATGATGATGATGATGATGATGATGAGGTGGAGGAGGAGGAGGAGGAGGAGGAGGAGGAGGAGGAAGAGGGGGTTGCTACTGATATGTATGAGTACTTTTTATATTTTGGTATTTATCCCTTATTAGATGTTTGCAAATACTTTCTCCCATTCCATAATTTGCATCTTCATTTTGTTTATTGTTTGTTTTCTGTGTAGAAGTGTTTCAGTGTGATATAGTCCTTCTTGTTGATTTTTGCTTTTGTTGCCTGTGTTTTTGGTGTCATATCCAAAAATCGTTGCTAAGACCAATGTTACAAAGCTTTTCCCCTGTTTTCTTCTAGGAGTTTGATGGTCCCCAGTCTTACATTTAAGTCTTTTGACTTAATTTTTGACTTACTTTTGAGTATTTTTAGTTTTTTTTAATGTTTATTTATTATTGCGAGACAGAGAGAGACAGAGCATGAGCATGGAAGGGACGGAGAGAGAAGGACACAGAATCTGAAGCAGACTCCAGGCTCTGAGCTGTCAGCACAGAGCCTGACACAGGGCTCGAACCCACGAACCACTAGATCGTGACCTGAGCCTAAGTGAGATGCTCAACCAACTGAGCTACCCAGAAGCCCCAAATTTTGAGGTATTTTTAATAAGTGGTGTAAGAGTCAGATTTTATTCTTTTTCCAGTGAATAGACAGTGTTCTCAGCACCATTTATTGAAATTACTGTCCTCTCTTTTAGTATTCTTTGTTCTCTTGTCAAATATTAGTTGACATATATGTATATGTTTATTTCTGGGCTCTCAATTGTTGTAATTTGGTCTGTGCGCCTATTGTTTTTTTTTGTTTGTTTGTTTGTTTGTTTGTTTGCCAGTACTGTGCTGTTTTGATTACTGTGAATCTGTAATATGTTTTTATGTCAGGAAGTATGAGTCCTTCAGCTTCATTTTATTTTTCAAAATTGTTTTGCCTACTTGAGATTTTTGGGTTATTGTTGTTATTGTCCCATATGAATTTCAGCATTATTTTTCCTACTTTTGTGAAGAATGCTATTTGAATTTTATTAAAAATTGTATTGAATCTGTAGTTGACTTAGGATAGAATGGACATTTTAAGAATATTAACTGTTCCTGAGCACAGGATTATTCGTTTGTATCTTTAATTTCCTTCATTAATGTCTTAGAGATTTCAGTGTACAGATCTTTCACTTCCTTGGTTACATTTATTCCTAAGTATTTTATTCTTTTTGATGCTATTATAAGAGGATTGTTTTTTTCCTTTTTAAGATACCTCATTGTTAGTATATATAAAATGCAAATGACTTTTGCATGGTTATTGTGTGTCCCCATCTTTACTGAATTCATTTGTACGTTCTAACAGTTTTCATGGAGTCTTGAGGATTTTCTTTTTTTTTTTTTTTTAATTTTTTTTAACGTTTATTTTTATTTTTGAGACAGGGAGAGACAGCATGAATGGGGGAGGGTCAGAGAGAGAGGGAGACACAGAATGTGAAGCAGGCTCCAGGCTCTAGGCTCTGAGCTGTCAGCGCAGAGCCTGATGCGGGGCTCGAACTCACGGACCGCGAGATCATGACCTGAGCCGAAGTCGGGTGCTTAACCGACTGAGCCACCCAGGCGCCCCTTGAGGATTTTCTATATATAAGATCATGTTATCTGTAAACAGAAAATTTACTTCTTCTTTTCTGATTTGGATTCCTTTTGTTTCTTTTTCTTAGCTGATCACCCTAGGTAGGATTTCTGGCCAATTTATTTATTTATACCTGATTCAGTTTTTGTTCCCATGCTAAACTGTGAAAAATATATAGCTAACCACAAAAAAAAAAAAATGTCCTGACATCAGGGTACATGTAATATAATTGGAAAGGCAACAATTAAATTATATAACATAAAAATACATAATTTCTAAATTGGGGATGTAGGCATGGTACAGGAATGTAATGACTAAGAGTTATCTAGACACTGAAGTTTCGCATATTTCATTAACCATGTTTAATTTTATTGTTTTCATGGGTTTGTGTTTAAACATAAAATAATTAGACAATGTAGGTTTTTTAAAAATTATGAGGCCATGAAATTTTAGAGTTCCCTAGTTACCTTACTATTTAATTATTACAGATGGTTTTTTATCTGTCTGTAATTGGCATCTTTTTAATTAAATCTAGGAAGTGTTTGTCCAAAATGAGTAAAAAGGCATTCAATTAAGTACTATCATGAAGATTATCTCAAATTTGGATTTGTGTGACCTAATAATTCTTTTCCTCAAACTATATGTCTTATCTGCAAGAAAAAGTTTTTCAGTGAGGCAATAATACCAATCACACTAACTCCCTCAATGGGTATTATTAAAAAGTTATTTTGAACATATTTAGGCATTTTGAGGAAAGGGACTATGTTATCTTACGTATCAGTATCAGTTACCTTCACAAAATGGTATCAGTGAACTCACAGTTAGTAGCAATGTTAGTCAACTAACAGCTAAAGTTAGAATGCTTAACTAATTACAGAAGTTTTCATTTAGTTAGGTTATCTAGTGTGTCTGAGATCAATAAAGGAAATAGAAAACATTCTACCTTTGAATAATACCAGTGGTAGATTATTGACATCACATCTAAGTGACATATGGATAGCATTAATACAGAAAAGTTTAACATAAAAATCTTTCATTGCCTGTGATAAGTTTGTAGACATTAACTATACTTAGTTAATAATGCTATTTAGAATCCCTAAAAATAAATGCTAGGCAGATGATATCTTCTACAAAGAAGTAAAGAAATATCAAACTATTAGAGATGAATAAGCAGAGAAATGAATGCTTGAAATAATAGTTTATCTGTGCATCTATTATATATATATTTATATATATACATACACACACACGCGCACACACACACACACACACATGTACCAATGCTGTGACTAAAGATATAAAGTCAACTTCAGCTTTATATGAAGAAATGGGATCTCTGCTGTTCCATGTTGATGTGTTTTGTTTGTCTAGAGATTGTTATAAGTTATGATCTAAAAAAGTTTAACTTTAGTTAATATTTCATTAAGATTGGATCATTAATTGTAGCACATACATAACACGAATGCAAGGTATTGATAGGGGGAACTGAAGGTGCAGGGAGTTATGGGGGTATATATGGGATCTCTGTGTACTTTAAGTTTTTCTGTAAACCTAAAACAGCTCCAAAAAATAAAGGCTATTAATAATTTTAAAAAATCACTTGGTTACACAAGTAGAAAGGAAAAAAAAATTCACTTGGTATATGACTCTCACTTTGCAGATTTCTTCCAGAATTGTTATTGACTCAAAAATTGGATTCTATAAGTGAAACTTTTGAGCACCCCATTGTCTTAAAACATCCTGATTTATGCCTGATATATGGTTTCTCATAAACCCTTGTTATAAACTGGAGTTTGCCTGTATTAGGCCAGAATGGAAAAAATAGGTTTTTTTGAAAGGAGAGCCTGAGGAAAGACTTGAGGTCTTTTCTAAATAGGGAGTCCAAATGATGGAATACATTTTGTATATTGCCTTTCATTTCAGGACCTATAGAGCTTGGTAAGTTTATAAAGATTCGTTCTTATCTGTTTATTTTGTATCAGGGTCTTTATTCTTTCTCAATGTGTCCATGACTTACCCAGGAACGTGCTCAATTACAGATTCCTTGACCCTCAGCCCAGAGACTGATAACATAGATATGATATGGGGCCTAGGAATCTGCATTTTGTTTAATTTCTTAGATGGTACTTAGAATTTAATTATAGTTGTAGGCCTTGGTCAGCATATAAAAAGGAACTAATCTCTTGAATGAGTGCAAGGGTTTATCTAGATTTTCACATTTATTTTCATTTGGATTATGCCTACCTAGTTTACCTTCACATGGTAGAAAGATTCTTCCAATAGGGAAGGTGGTTAATCTGACTAAATGCTCTCAGGCCACTTGAGCTCAGTTATTCTCTTTTAAACTATCACTGGGTAACTGTGTTTTGTAAAAGCTTAAATTACCCAGAGTAAGGGAAATTTCAAATATATAAGAAATACTATGTAAAATTACTTTAAAAAGCTTTGATACAGGAATTTTAGATAAATTAGTCTTATTTTAAAACTAATAGAATTCCAGATTTTAACTGCCTAGTTGAATTGAACATAGAAATAAGTAATGTGATTGTAAATTGTTTCTTTAAGAAATTTATAACAGAAATTTGTAACACCCATTTTGTGCACCCTCCTCCTGCCTGTCAACCATAAGTTCTCTATATTTGTAGGTCTGATTCTTCTTTTTGTTTCTTTATTGTTTTTTTTAATGTTTTTGGATTCCACTTACAAGTTAGATTTTTTAATTTTAACTTTTCTACCCGTTTTGTTCTATCTATTAGCAAATATTTTTTGTTTTAAATTTATTTTTGGAAGTTGAAAAAACTTTTCTAAGCAATTTCTCATTTTGCCTAGATGTTTCATGGAACAATCACAAAAGAACTAACCAGTCATGAAGAATGGAGTCACTATAATGACAACATGATAGAAGATCAGAAGGATTTTGTTTTTGTGAAGTTCAGTGGCCTTCATTTAAAATCTATGGAAAATTTGCAATCCTGTATCTCTCTGAGAGTATGCATCTTCTCAAACAATTTTATCACAGATATTCATCCACTTCAAAGTTGTATAAGATTAGTCAAACTTGATCTCCATGGAAATCAGGTAAGCAATAGCATTTTAGATATTTGTGTATAAATGAAATTGATGTTTAAAAACACGTATGTTACCTATCTACAGTATTTCAGTCTTTTACGTAAAATGTAAATAAAAATTTAAAACTAAATAAAATATATAAAAATACAAATTTAAGGGGCATCTGGCTGACTCAGTCCGTAGACCATGCAACTCTTGATCTTGGTGTCATGAGTTTGAGCTTCACATTGGTGTAGAGACTACTTTTAAAAAAATTTAAATTTAAGCAAAATTTTTGAATTAGAAATATGTAAATACTTTGTGATTTGGTATATTTTACTTCTTAATAGCCTGCATTAAAAATTATTTGGACTTATGGGGCGCCTGGGTGGCGCAGTCGGTTAAGCATCCGACTTCAGCCAGGTCACGATCTCGCGGTCCGTGAGTTCGAGCCCCACGTCGGGCTCTGGGCTGATGGCTCAGAGCCTGGAGCCTGTTTCCGATTCTGTGTCTCCCTCTCTCTCTGCCCCTCCTCCGTTCATGCTCTGTTTCTCTCTGTCCCCCAAAAATAAATAAAACATTGGAAAAAAAATTATTTGGACTTTTAAATTTTTTTAATGACATAATTGACATATAACATATTAAGTTCAGGCATACAACATAATGACTTGAGATATATATATATCACTTAGGCTGCTTCCCTGTCTTGACTATTGTAAATAATGCTGCAATGAATATTGAGGGTATATATATCTTTTTGAGGTAGTATTTTCCTAGTCTTCAGATAAATATTGAGAAGTGGAATTGTTGGATCATATGGCAGTTTTATTTTTAGTTTTTTTAAGAAACCTCCATACTGTTTTCCACAGTGGTTGTACCAATTTACATTCCTGTAACAGTGCATAAGGGTTTCCTTTTTTCCACATCCTTGCCAGCACTTGTTATTTTTTGTCATTTGGATAAAAGGCATCCTAACAGCTATGAAGTGGTATCTCCTTGTGGTTTTGATTTGTGTTTCCCTGATGATTAGAGACAGTGAGCATCCCTTTATGTACCATGTTGGCCATCTATCTGGATGTCTTCTTTAGAAAATAAGTATTCAGATTCACGGTCCATTTTTTAAAAAAAAAATTTTTTTTTCCAACGTTTATTTATTTTTGGGACAGAGAGAGACAGAGCATGAACGGGGGAGGGGCAGAGAGAGAGGGAGACACAGAATCGGAAACAGGCTCCAGGCTCTGAGCCATCAGCCCAGAGCCTGACGTGGGGCTCGAACTCACAGACGGCGAGATCGCGACCTGGCTGAAGTCGGACGCTTAACCGACTGTGCCACCCAGGCGCCCCACACGGTCCATTTTTTAATTGGATTTTATTTTTTCTATAGAGTTGTATGAGTTCTTTATATATTTTGGATATTATTCCCTTATTACACATACAATTTGCAAATACTTTCTTCCATTTACTGGCTTGCCTTTTCATTTTATTGATGGTTTTCTTTGCAGTACAGAAGCTTCTTAGTTTGATATATTTTTACTTGATATATTTTTGCCTTTGTGCCCTTTGCTTTTGGTGTCAAATCCAAAAATCATTACCAAGACTATTGTGAAGAAGTTTACTGCCTGTGTTTTGTTTTCAGATTTTTATAGTTTCAGGTCTTAGGTTAAGCCCTTAATCCATTTTGAGCTAATTTTTGTATATAGTGTAAGATAGTAGTCTGGTTTCTTTTTTTTTTTTTTTTTTTTTTTTTTTTTTTTTTTTTTTTTTTTTTTTTTTTTTTTTTTTTTTTTTTTTTTTTTCTGTTTTGTTTTGTTTTGTTTTGTTTTGTTTTGTTGCCTGTTGCTATCTGGTTTTCCCAACACCACTTATTGAAGAGACTGCCCTTGTGTTCGCTTCAGCAGTACATAGTCTAAAATTAGAATGATATAGAGAAGATTACAGGCCCTTGTGTATGGCCTCTTGAAGAGACTGCCCTTTCTCCACTGTGTATTCCTGACACCATCATAAATCAATTGATCATCTATGCATGGGTTTATTTCTGGTTTTTCTATTCTGTTACATTGATCTGTGTGTTTTTATGCCAATACTATACTGTTTTGATCACTATAGGTTCATAATATAGTTTAAAATCAGGGAGCAGGATGCATCCTGCTTTATTCTCTTTCAGGATTGCTTTGACTATTCAGGGTCTTCTGTGTTTCCATACACATTTTGGGAGTCTTTTTCTATTTCTGTGAAAAATGCCTTTGAAATTTAGAAGGGATTACACTGAATATGTAGATTACATTGGGCAATATTATTTTAACAACATTATTCTCTCAGTCCATGAGCATGGAATATCTTTCCATTTATTTTTCTCTTATTCAATTTATTTCATACATTTGTCATTGTTTTCAGTGTCCAGATCTTTCACCTCCTTGTTTAAACTCATTCAGGCATTTTATTCTTTTTGATGCGGTTGTAAATGGGATTGTTTTCTTAATTCCTCTTTCTGATAGCTTATTATTAGTATATAGAAATGCAACAGATGTTTGTATACTGAATTTGTATCCTACAACTTTACTGAATTCATTTATCAGTTGTAAGAATTTTTTGGTGGAGTCTTAGGGTTTTCTGTATATAATATGTTGTCTGCAAATGGTGACAGTTTTGTTTCTTCCTTTTTGGTTTTGCATGCCATTTGTTTCTTTTTCTTGCCCAATTATTCTAGCTGGGACTTCTAATACTGTGTTGAATAAAAGTGGCAAGAGTGGGCATCCTTGTCTTGTTCCTGATCTTAGAGGAAAAGCTTTCAGTTTTCACCATTGCATATGATGTTAGCTGTAGCTTGTCATATATGGCTTTTATGATATTGAGGTATATTCTCTGTATCTACTTTGCTGAGAGTTTTTATTATGAATTAATGTTGAATTTTGTCAAATGCCTTTTCTCTATTGAGATGATCATATGATTTTTATCCTTTATTTTGTTAATGGGGTATATCACACTAATTCTTTACATCAGTAAAGTACTTTAGAAAAGTTTAGAATTGGCCTACTACAAAGAAATTTTTACTGAACAAAGTATATATGTCCATTCTTTTAATTATACTAATAATGATAACCTAGTCCAGAGGAACAATGTATTATGTTTTTACTCCAGTCACCACTGGAAAACTAGAGATTCGTTTTTGGCTTATTAATGAGAAATTTGCCATTTTGAAAAATACTGAGTTTTAGAAGATGTTTAATATTTTTCCGTTTTCCATGCAATTTATAGAAAATTAACATTTGTATTTAAGATGTTATTATTGATAATATTTCAGATAAAGAGTCTACCAGATACCAAATTTTGGAGTGGACTGAAGAAACTAAAACTCCTCTATCTTCATGACAATGGGTTTGCAAAGTTAAAGAATATATGTATGTTATCTGCCTGTCCAAGTCTAATTGCCCTCACTATGTTTGATTGTCCAGTGAGCCTTAAAAAAGGATATAGACATGTTCTTGTCAACAGTATATGGCCTCTCAAAGCACTGGATCATCATGTGATTTCTGATGAAGAAATAATTCAGAACTGGCATCTTCCTGAAAGATTTAGAGCATATAACCACCGACTTTTCTTTAATTTCTGCCCTGCTTTGAAAAAGGTAATTGAAGGGCTCCTGGGTGGCACAGTCATTTAAGCATCTGACTTCAGCTCAGGTGATGATCTCACACTTCGTGAGTTCAAGCCCCGCGTCGAGCTCTGTGCTGACAGTTCAGAGCCTAGAATCTGCTTCAAAGATTCTGCGTCTCCCTTTCTTTCTGCCCCTCCCCCACTCACACTCTGTCTCTCTCTCAAAAATAAATAAAAACACTTAAAAAATATTTTTTTAAAAAGGTAATTGGATTCATTAGAGTTTCATTTTGAATAAATTTGTGGAAGTAAAATTTTAGCTTCTAGACTCTATACCTAAATCATATAAACTAATAAATACTGTATCATTTATCTAAAATGTGATAAACTAGTTAGTACATTAGTAATGTCTTATATCTGAGGATTTGTAGAAGCTTGTATGCCTACTGCATAAAAATTGCTGAGCATAAAAATATCAAATTATAGGGGCGCCTGGGTGGCGCAGTCGGTTAGGCGTCCGACTTCAGCCAGGTCACGATCTCGCGGTCCGTGAGTTCAAGCCCCGCGTCGGGCTCTGGGCTGATGGCTCAGAGCCTGGAGCCTGTTTCCGATTCTGTGTCTCCCTCTCTCTCTGCCCCTCCCCCGTTCATGCTCTGTCTCTCTCTGTCCCAAAAATAAATAAACGTTGAAAAAAAAAAATTAAAAAAAAAAAAATCAAATTATAGAGAAATATTTTTGGTCCCTGTTATGTTTTAATAGCTCTAAGGACATATAGCCTATATACTATAAAATTCCCTTTTTATATGTATGATTTAATTATTTTGGTAAATTGATAGTGCTGTATAGCCATCTCCACAATCCACTGTTAGAAATTTCCACCACTCCAAAAGTTTCCCTCTTTCTCATTCACAGTTAATCTCAACTTCCTCCTGCAGTCTTAGGTACTGTTGATCTGGCTTCTGTTTCTTTAAATTTGCTTCTCTAAACATTTTATGTGAATCAAACTATACAATATGTAGTCGTATGCATCTGCCTTCGTTCACTTAGTGTGATGTGGTGGAGGCTCATTTATGTTGTAGCATATATGCATAGTTTGTTCCTTTTGATTGCTGAGTGATTTTCCATTATATGAATACACTACATTTTTTTTTTTGTCCATTCACCAGTTGATAGACATTTAGATTATTTTCAGTTTTTGCTATTATGAATGATGCTGCTATGAACACCTACTTACATGTCTTTGTGTAGACGTATGTTTTCATTTTTCTTGGGGAGATTCTTAGCAGTGCAGTTACTGGTAGGTATGGTAAGTGTATGCATAATTTGGTAAGAAACTAAATTGCTTTCTAAAAAGTAGAAACCACAAAAAAATAAAATAAAAAATAAAAAGTAGAAACCACAAACGTGGGAGGGTTCTAGTTTCTTTATGTACTTGCAAACACTTAGTGTTTTTTTGTTTTACGCTATAGACATTCTAGTAGCTATAAAGTGGTATATTTATTTTTGGTTTTAATTTGTTTCCCTTATGAGTCGTGATGACAAACATTTTTCTCTGCTTATTTTCTATGCATATACTTTCTTTCATCAAATGTCTATACCAATTTTTTCCTCATCTTGCAAGTGAGTTGTTTGTCTTATTATTGAGTTGTAAGCGTAGATATATGGGTATAAGTCCTTTATTAGATATATGTATTGCAAAGATTTTTCTCTCAGCGAATTTTCCATCTTGTTAATGGTCTCTTTTGGAGCAGAAAATTTTTGAGTTTTAAGCCATCCAGGTTATGATTTTTTTCTTTTAAGGATCATGCTTTTGATGTTGTGTCTAAGAAGTCTCTCTATGGTCACTAAATTTTTCTATGTTTTCTCCTAGAAGTTTAATAATTTTAGCTCTGAAATCGAGACCTATGTTTCATTTTCAGTGAATTTTTATGCATGGTATGAAGTAAGGGTCCAAGTTCATTTTTTTTGCGTGTAGATATTCAATTATACCAGCCCCATATGTTGACAAGATTATTCTTTCCCTGGTGAATTGTTTGTGATATCTTTGTCAGAAATCAGTTAGCCATTAAAAGGTAAGGGTTAATTTCTGGACTCTGAATGATTATATTCCAATGGTCTGTGTATCTATCCTTAGGCCAGTATCACACATTCTTGATTATTGTAGCTTTGTAGTTAAGTTTTGAAATAGGGAAGTGTGAGTCCTCCAACTTTACTCTTCTTTTTCAATATTGCTTTGGCTATTCAGGGTCCCTTGCATTTACAAATGAATTTTAGGATCAGGTTGTCAATTTCTGCAATGATTCCTGCTGGAATAGTGGTAAAAATTTCATTGAATTTATAAATCAATTTGTGGAGATTGCCATCTTTACAATAGTGAGTATTCTCATTCTTGAATGTGAACTCTCAATTCATTTAGATCTTCTTCCATTCTCTAATTATTGTTTATTAAAAAAATTATTTCTGTGTATTTTATTTATTTTGGCAATATTGTGAATGGAGTTCTTAAATTCATTTTTGGATTATTTGTTACTAATATATAGAAATACATTGATATTTTAATTTAATCTTATATTCTGCCACCTTGCTATTCTCATTTCTTAATTCTAGAAGCTTTTTGTTGATTCAAAAAATTTTTTTTAATGAAAATGAATCTCTAATTTTCAGGTTTCCATATTTGAATGATTCCTTTGGGAAGTAGTTTCCTCTCCCCCCCCCCCCCATGCTTTAAAGGACAATTTGGAATATTAATGGAAGTGGATAAAACTATTAAATTCTTAAACAATTAATTTGGTGACCCGCACTAAATCATCATTATATCTTGATTTTTAAAATGCTGAAACAAGTGATTAGGAAATGATATCTAGTTGGAGATTACAAAATACTTAAATTGGTGAATAAAAATATTTAAAAAACATGCTTCGTGACATGAATATTAGAACAAATAAATCAGGTAAGAATTCAGAAAAAGGGGTGAGCTCTGCAGGTGTTAGAAAGCTCAAGTACCGAGATACAGGAAATAAAAAAGTATGTTGCAGAATAGTATTTGTAAAATGTTGTAAGTATTTCTAAATCTACATATATATGTATTGACAATTGAAGAACAGAAAATCATTTGAAGTGATCACATTTGGAAGGATATATGAACAATGAACAGTGATTATGCATGAGATTAGGAAGTTAGAAAACTTTGTAACTGCATAAATTCTTTATAAACATTTATGAGTATATTAATGATTTTGTAATAACAGTTAAAAATTTTAGAGAAATAAAAAGTGCTGCAGTGTTTAATTATGGTTGTTTTAACCTGGTCCTAAAAGAAGAATTTCATTTATATATTCTAGTTAGATGGTATGGTATAATCAAAGGTGGGAACATACTTGTCTTTTTTAAGGACAATCAAAATGACTGATGTTCATTTAAGCAATTAATAGGAAGTTAGTGGGGGTATGAAAAGAAGATTGGAGGAATACTAAGGAGTTTAGACTTCTTAATGAATGCAGTGAAGATCTATTGAAGTTATTTGAGGAGAAAATTAGAGTGGTTCTATCATAGTTGGTGCTCTATGAATAAATGTTATTGACAAATTTTTTTAAAGGAGATTAATCCAGTATTTTGCTAGCAGATTAAGGGGGGTTAGGAGACAGATGAGGGCAGAGAAACTATTATAGGCCAGAAATGATGTGATTAGGGTTGATTCAAGTGAACAGTAGTGGCAAAGAAAATAGAAGACATTGTAAAGAAGAGGACAGACACTCAGTAAAAGTCATTGTTATAGACACTTTATATATTTTATTCCTTCACTCCTTTACCAAATATGTATTGATTGCCTAATATGTGAGAGAGATTATTCTGGACTGGGTGGTAAATAATAATGACAGATGTTCTGCTTTCATAAAGTTCAGTGGGAAGGCCCAGGAAATAAACATGTAGGCTAAAAAACAAAAACAAAAACAAACCCAGCATAGAATGCTAGATATTGTTAATTTCTAAAGAAAATAGAGTAATATAGGACAAAAAGTATGGAGGCTTGGGCTAGATGGGGAAGGACTTCCTGAAAAATATTTGTTCTTCATCATATTCTTTGTTATGGGGAGATATTATTATTTCACAGAAGAAAATGAAATATAGTAAGGTTTAAGACTTTACCCAATACCAGACATCTAGTCAGTCATGAAGCTGGGATTTCAAATCTGTCTTGGTTCCATAGTCCTACAATCAACATTGTATCACAAAGTATAGACAGTGCAAAGATTTGACAGGGTTTTTTTTTTTTTTTTTTTTTTTTTTT